TATATAAATCACATATAGATAATGGTAGTCGATTTAATCATAATTGAACTTAATAATTAATCCAAATTCAAACGAATAACCTTATAATAATATAATTGAAAGTTATACACATAAAGTTAAATTATGGATAGTATTTTGCACAATTGAGTTTCTATACCCACAAACTAAATTCCTATAACCCGATATTCAGCCCCCGCCTCGCGGGCTAAATGCGGCCCGCCAAATATTTTGATCTGGCCCACGAAACATTGCTAAAAATAAATCATTTTCCGGATTTTTAGAAAAAAAGTTTTTCTGTTTAGAACAACACCACATAGGCACCCCTAATCTAGCAACGTTTACAAGAGTGTGGCGTTTTCTGAGTGTTGCTCACTGTATCAAGTGGCGTAGGGCACTGGCATGTGGAGGAGTAGACTAATGGGGACAATATGGATTAAGTGGGACACTGATATAAAGCGATGTCTAACCATTTGCGCACCTGCAGGCTCTTGGCATGTTATTCTGTTGAAAACACTGCTTTGAAAACTTATTTTTGAGTCTGAAAGTGCAATTTCCAGAAATGTGCTCACCTCAATCCCAACCATTGGTGAGTGGATATTTTCGTGGGTTTTTTTTTTTTTTTTTTTTTTCAAAATTCTAAAAGAAAGAAAAGAGAAGAAAAGAAAATTAAATTCAAATTTAAGTCTGAGAGTGACATTTCCGACCATCTAGAGGTGCCATAATCATAAATTTTCTTGCCTCAGTTCCAACCATGATGGGACTTAGGTGGTATTTTCCCCTATCTTTGAAAGTTGTTCCCTGGCCCCTTCTATATCGAATTCACCGCTATAAAAGAAAATGGAAGTACACAATTTATGTCGGAACGCCGCTGGTCTCAACAAATCGAAACTGGCCCCCAGCTTAAAAAGGTTGAATACCAGGGTCCTAATAGGCTAAGAGATAAAAGTGTGATGCATTGTGTTGTGGGTGGATAGGGAGTCTTTCAAATTGTCAAAAGTTTTTGACAATTTTTCAAAAGTGTAGGGCCTCAAACTGTGCATATATTGATGATACTGGTTTTAGGTCCGTATTACGTCCTGGGCAACTTTCTTAGGCTTTTCAAATTTCGGTCGTTACCTGTTGCTTCACGAAATTATTATGCTTAAAGATGTATTGTCCCATATACAATATTTTTTTCAAAAAATCATAAAAAATGTATCAGAAATTAACTTGCTCATTTTGAACTTACATAAAAGTTAATAACTTAAACATGAAAAATTAGTTTACTGTATTTAAAAAATGTTTACAAATAATTTTACAGCGAAAAATGACAGTAACACTTCTAGTAACTGAAAGTGTTTATATTTTTCTATCATTATCCAGTATAAAAATTGGGGTAAACATTTAATTAGGGTAAACATTTAATAAATTCAATAATTTCTATTCTCAAGTTATTAATTTGTATGTTATTACAGTGTAGGGTAGTAGAGCCGAGGTGCACGGTAATAGAGCAGGACTTGTTCTGATGTGGAAGCTACCGGAGCCAGTATACAGCCTAACAGAGTGCCTGTGAGCACCTTGATGTGACAGTTTATTTTGAACTTGTATAAAAGTTAATAACTTAAACATAAAAATTAGCGTACTGTATTTAAAAAAAAAATGTTTTCAAATAATTTTACAACGAAAAAAGATAGTAACACTTCCAGTCACTGGAAGTGTTTATATTTTTTCTATCATTATCCAGTATAAAATTGGGGTAAACATTTAATTGGGGTAAACATTTAATAAAATCAATGATTTGTTCTCAAGTTAATAATTTGTATGTTACAACAGTGCAGGGTAGTAGAGCCAAGGTGCACGGTAGTAGAGCAGGACTTATTCTGAGGTGGAAGCTACCGGAGCCCAGCATACTGCCAAACGGGGTGCCTGCGTGTAAGTGGGTATGACAGCGACGTTGTTTCGACAACGGTGGGTGGAGCTCTGTTCTGGACACCAATGCCTATAATAGCCCTCATACATTTCGGAACTGGTTTTAGTTTTAGGTAGTTTTAAGTCGAATTTATTTACTGCTTGTGGTTTTTGTTGTAAAGCGCATTGTGCATAATGAGCAAGTTAATTTCAAAATTATTTTTTTTTAATGATTTTTTTAGTCATTTTAGGGGACAATACATCTTTATCATTGTAATTTGATAAAAATGTATCTTTTGTTTTTGTTTAAGTTTTGCTTTCTTAAAACGTATAACTTTTGACTGGCTTCGCTAGCTACTACTTTGGAGTTTCATTGAAGCTTTCATTCTCTATTGTTGCTGCAAAGCCATATTCATTTCTAATCATTATTACTGCTATAGTAATTAGGCTATTGTTATTATTATATTAAATAATTCAGGAGCAAAGGTCATCTTGGCTTGCCGTGACGCTACAAAGGCTGCGAGGGCAGCAGAAGAGATACGGACTGAGACAGGAAACGAGACAGTAACTGCTAAACTCTTGGACCTTGCGTCGCTAAAGTCTATCAGATTATTTGCCAAATGTATAATTGAAACTGAATCAGAATTGCATATTCTGATTAATAATGCAGGTAAGTTTTACTTCCTTTACAAAGGAAAGAGAAGCGGTAGTAAAGTCCCCTGGTAACCCTAGGTTCTGATGTGTTAAGGCATTTAGAAATTGTTACGGTATTGTCTGCTTTATATTATCTTTTTTTAAGTAAATTGATTATTATTAGTACTGTATAATAATGTATGGTTGTCGGCAATTTGGTTAATGGTAAATTGGTTGTCTGCGAATAGTCCTGTCGGCAAAAAGATATTTTTATTGTTCGTTTGCATTACAGTATTTAAATTACTTTTTTTTGTAAATTGATTATACCGGTACTGTATATATACTGTCTCTTATACACATCTAGATGTGTATAAGAGGCGTACTGTCTCTTATACACATCTTATATATATATATATATCCCCATATATCCCCATACCCCCCAAAAACTCTTATTTTAGTTAAAGCTTGTAATCATGTTCGAGTGCATGTTTGCAGTTGTGTTCAATTATTATTATTATTATTATTATTATTATTATTATTATTATTATTATTATTACTATTATCATTATTATTATTATTATTATTATTATTATTATTATTATTATTATACAGTACTTTACAAGTGGAAATTATTATTTGTGTAAAAATAGTTTTTAAAATACGGAACCAAATATACCTTTGTATTCTGACTGCAATCCATCATGTAGGCCTATGTAAATCGCAGGAGCAGTTGCTCGTTTCCAAATTGCTTTTTAGAATAGCAGGTATAGGGGCACGATCCAGTGAACAATCAACTGGTAATGGTGGTGGAAATGTACGAAATACAATTTCTTTAGGACTTATATCAATTGTAAATTTATAAATTCAATTATGATTTTATGATATTCATAAATAAATGTAGTGGTTTTCGCCAAAAAAAAAAATAGAATAAACATGTTGGTGACCATGGAATATGCAAGGCAAAGAGTCAGTGGTGATATATCATGTTCGTTTCTCTCTTCTCTCTTTAATCATAAAGGATATTTTTACTAACTTCCGACGATAGTTTTTCATTTTAGTAGAGAGAACTGATCCAACAATATAGCCTGCCGTTCGGATTAATTATCGTATTTCACGACCATAAGCTAAGATCGGGACTTCTCTAGATGCTTCAACACTGGGGTGCATGCAGTATTTGGCGGTGGTGGGTGCATGAAAGTTCACAGCTCCTCAGCCCCAGCATGTGGTTGGGGCTGAGGTGGGAAATTTTGAGAATATGGACCTCTAGGTACCCAGAAATTGCACCCTCGTACCTTAAAAATCTGGTAGTTCTTATCAAAAAATACAATATAGGGGATGTGATCGCACAGTCTGTGCCCCCAGCATTTGCCCCAGAAATATTACTATATCCCCCAAATAAAGATCGTAACCCAAGAATTGGCTACATTGAATTTTAGTCAATGTTACATGCTGGCCTAAACATAAAACCAGTTCTATACTGTGCCTTCTTTTGTTATGTTCGCGCACGGCTGGTTATTCACAATTTGTTACACGGTACTATCTACCCTTCATAAACACGTACATTTCAGTGCATACTACGATCCTCACGCTTACTTGACGGTACGGAGCCGCGCCCTATCCAGCCGAATATTTAGCATCGACAGTGACTTCCCCCTAAATTTACCGATACCTATATGCATAATGTAATAGACGGTAGCAAGAAATACGCGCATGTCCACAAACACATGAAATATAAACGTGAACAGAAAGCAATGTGAAACAAAGTTCGAATATGTAGTTAATAGGTAGTTTTCGCCGCACGACGTTAACCTTAACTTTAACGTTAGTACCCAACTTGCAACGCGATAACTCCGCCCCTTTTGTAAACAAATCGAAATACGTATGCGCAAACCCGTAACTAACGTCCGTCGAGCACGTAAAATCCTGAAATTAATGTACTCCGCAACGCAAGATGAATAAATTATGACGTCATCCGTTAAGGTTAACGTCGTGCAGCGAAAACTCCCCATTACCAGCACGCAAGTGGTTCAGTAATAATATGCTGCCATGTACAGAGTTAATAACTAGAGGTGGGGAAACTATCTAGCGGTGAGAGTTTCTCACAAAAAAACAGTGCGCTTTAATTTAATGTGCTTTAATTTAATATAAGAAACTGGAAACTGAGTACATGGTTAAATTAGACACTAAACGAGACGATACAAGTTTTTTTTACCACACATATATTTCGATATTAATAATTAAGTCACCTGCTATAAAGAGGCGATTACACAAACATCTTTATTAAATTTAAGCACACATTCAGTTTATAATATCAAAGAAGAATGAGCTGTTCCGCGTATTTGCATTAAAAACGATGAAACATCCGCCCTCATACTGGTAACAGTTTGCTCTCAGTCTTTTAATATTGAATTTCAGTACGTTTAATTTTGGTTAACAACAAGGATTAATTGTGTGCCTTCATCCGATGTTTTTCATTCCAAATGTATTATTCGCAATTTGTTGTCTATTTTCTTTAGGTGTCGTTCAACATTACTGTATAGGATATGCTCTAATGCTATGTATCTATGCTAGCCAATTTGTTGTCTATTTTCTTTAGGTGTCGTTCAACATTATCAACATTTTCAAACTGTACAAACACTGTACGCTAGAGGGGAGGGAGAGACAAATGTGTTCACTCTTACATATGCATAAAAATGTTGACTCAAAACAACATGCAATATGTAAAATAATGGTAAAATTATAATGTAACCATCGATGTTATATTCATTTTTAAGCAACCAATTACATTGGTTTAGCTGACTTGACAATAAAAAGTGGAGAATGGTTTTGCAAAATCAACATTTTTGTACACTTTCAGAGGGGAGAGAGAGGGGGTACCGAAAAAGAGTAATGCTTGTACACTTTTGAAAATGCTGATAATTGTGAACGACTCATTAGAAAGGTGGTAAGTTAATCATCAGTAAACATAACTGTAGGCCTATGGGATGTTCACTCGTTGAAAGTGCCAGATCTCTACTTCATAATTATATTAGCTACGCGCGCACTACTACTAGGAACATTTTCGTTGAAGAGTTACTGGTATGCTTAACAACTATAACACCATTTGCTCCTTTATTTGAGCACTGTATTATTTACCACATTTGTTTACATATGTTTACTGTGCTACAACAAATGTTTTATTATATAAGTATTTATAAAATGTTAGCTCACATAGCCTGACGAAGTAATGTTGATAACATCGATAAAAGTTCGCAGTGTGTTTACATCCATTGTGCTTGATTTATTATCGATAAAACAGTTCTACAAATATGCCTAACATAAATATGTTACAGCACACTACTCTCTAAATACGTATGGAACAATCTTCAATAACAAATGGTGCACCATTGACAGAGCAAGCATTATCATAATCAACGAAAACAACACACTGTAGTCGGACCATTGCAATTATATTTCTATGTAAAATGCATTTACAAATGACAATAAATTATACTCTATACTGAATACTAATACTCATAGTAGTATATATATATTCATAGAAACATAATATTACACTTTAAAAACATTTGCGTGAGATTTTATTTTATCTGCCACACTGTGGTTGACACTTAAATGGATATGCCTACACTTAGTCATAAATAGGCAAGTATAAATTGGTTGATCCATGTTTTATATAGGCCTAGTTATCTTGAGTTGGCAATCCATTGTAAATGTAATTTCTACAGCTTTATTTTTGTCAAATTTCCTCCTCAGAAATCTATTAAATTGGTCGCCTAAGCCACTAAAATGCATGAGCTCTGCGGCCTTCGCCCCTTGACCTCACTGGGTGTCCTAGGCGACCCCCGGACCCCCAGCCTTAGTGGGTCAATTCAAGTTCACCCTACAAATATTGAATCTCCTCCACTGACCATACTGTTCAATAAGTTTTATACAATTATTTCAGTTTTTACTCTATTATGACGACATTATCAACATTTGATATCTCGTGTTTGTATATTGCTCCATGCTGGGCGCTGGATTTAATTGGCAACCGTTTTCGGCATCCCGGCGGAACGAGTTGCAATGTAGCGCCCTCATGCATTCCATCGCGCACCTTGTACAGCCTTCAAAAGTAACACCGTGGCAAGTTTCAACAAATTTCTCAGATATTTTGAAGAAGGCGGCGGTAGTGCCTGGTGTAATGTTAAACAAAAGTAATACAAAAAATAAATAAATAAATATGTACAAAGATAATAACAAGTACAAGGTGGTGTTATTAACTTTTCATATAGAACCAAAATAACATCGGTCTAGGTAGCCGATGTTATTTTAGTTTAATCATATTAAATGAAAGTTTAAAAAAAACTACATTATAGGAACGAGATAATTTTTTTAATAATCTAAGTACAATGTAATTATTGAAAGAATGGTAATAAAGATTTCAATAACTGACGTATCCCGATTCCCGATAAATGTACCGAAATTTTTAGTAAACAAATTAAAATTGAATACATTTTTTTTCCTATTTTACATGAATGTTAACTTACGAGTTGTATTTTCAGGTGTCCTAATTCCATCGGAACAAACTTGTGAACTCATGATTTCAGGATTCACTATTATCAATAAGTTATAAGAAAAATATAAATCATCCGATCATTTATCATATTCAGACCCATTTATGTACACAATTAAAACAGGAAATATATGAAAACGTTAAATAAATGTGCATCACCACGGAATAAATACATGCCGAAATTGATAATTGATGATTTTGATAATAAGATAAATGAAAAACGTTGACGTTTGTGTTTTTATCATTATATAATAACTAATTAGCAATAGTGTTACCGACATCGCCATTTTTTTCATATATTAGCATTGGTGTCGCTGTCTTCACCATTGTTGTCATATTAATCGTCGCTGTCATTTTCGTTGTCATCATCAATATCATCCCCATCACCAGTACCGGTAGCAGTAATATGTATTGTCCCTTGGAAATAACAATAACTTGCTCATTTTGCAGTAACATAAAACAAGAAATAGTAACACAAAAATAAATTCACCCTCGTCACTTATAGTCTCTGATCATGGACGTTTTGGGAGTTTCATCTACAAGGTACAAGGTAAAATTATCGGTAAACATTTTTTTCACTAATTTCTATGTTACTTAAATATGAGCAAGTTAATGTGTTTTATATATATATATATATATATATATATATATATATATATATATATCAATATATATAACCCATAAAACAGCAAACGGCCACATAATGCAAAACTATTTAAAATGAAAACGGAACAGTAGAGAAAATCCGATCAGAATGACAAAATAAACTAAGCATCCACTGGAAGGAATCCTAATATCTGCAGACGGATCCGTTTGGGCCTTCCAGGCCTCATCAGTGCAGCTAGGGTATAGACCCAAAAGAAACGTTCGACCAGCTTAGGTAACGCCCAAACTAGTCCAACGACCACTAATCATTACAGAGCCAAACCAAGGCAATATATATACACAGCCCAGGTGTGAATGCAAATAGTGGAATACAAGCTATGTGGCTCGGTTCCAGTAGATGCAGAGAATATTTTGTCATTCTTAACGCGTCCTACGAAATTCTAACGAGACAGCACTAGTCCGTGAATTTGTGAACAAGATCGGAGATCTAAAAATGCAATCTCTACTGTGCATCAATGGCGGCGCTGGATCTCAATAGAGATTCTTCAATAATATATAAATTTAAAAAGGCAAATGGGAAAAAAGGACAATACATCTTTAGTAGATAAACGCCCCGTATTCTTGAAACGAACTTTAGTCCTAGATCAAACTAGTCTTGAACAAGCACTCGTTATAACAACTTATGATTTATTCATAAAAGTCAGGTGAAGATTTTAATTCGGCTAAACGAAATTGTAGTTGTAGGCCTACATTAGTGCAGTTTAAAACATCTGTGGCGAAGAAAATATAAACTGACCAATGACATCACCAAATCAAGCTCTTTCTATTGGCTAATAACACATTTGCTCCTAAGGTTTATGAAAGATTTAGCTCGATATATAGGGCAACAATGTGTTTTAAGAATATGGGTTGAAGTGCAAAAAACCTATTACACGCAACAATAGAGGTTAAATTCTTAAAAAAATAGATATGTAAACCCACGTTTCAAAGCATAAAGGTGATCCCTTCTGTCGATTGTTTTAAAAGTTCCCAATTCTTCTTCCCTGCGTGGAAAGCTTCCATTAAGACGTGCACGGATAAGGTGATTGTCATACTTCGAACGTACGTAAATGTACTGTCCAATCAGCATGACATCTGTTGGCCACCGACTTGATGATGTGTAAAGTGAATTTAAATTGATAAGTTCAATGTTCCCTCCGCCAGCAGTATCACAAGAGCGAATTTCTCTACTTAGCCTATTAGTCCAATAAAGCCGATCTTCTAAATGTGAAAAACAATATTGTCAAATTAACATATGCTGTTTGATGGAAATTAGAAATGCTTTACTACAGTTTAGCTCTAACAAAAACGATGGCAAATTTGAAAAGGAAATCTTACAATTGAATCAAAGAAATAATAAGAATGATTGACCATAGTTTTTTTTCTTCAAATACGGTACCTCTTATACGTTTATGAAGGCCCAAAGATATGTAACTTGTGTTGCCTTGCGCGACCGACCGAAACTTTCCAAAAATTCGGTTCGGCTTTTTTTCTTTTTATAAAGAGTTTTTTTTTTTTTTTTTTTTTCAATTAAATTACAAATTCGAGAAACTCATTTTTAAAACATAACATCTCACATAATATAGGCCCTACATGCATTTTTGACCATAGAAGTCGAACCATAGATGCACGCGTGGTGCGTAATTTTGGGAATGGAACTGAGCGCTCGGCGATGCATGCACTCAACATCGGATCTTCCCATGACCCGCTAGGCCTAGCCTAAAGCCTAGTCTACTCTATAGGTAATCCATTCTTTACCAGTGGTGTAACGGCGAGTTAGGTGGCCCGGGGGCGAGAAACTGTTCGGGGGCCTGTTTCAGTTTATTGGTGTATTTTCGACCACGGATAGAGCTACGAGGGTGTGTGTGTTGGTGTGGGTGTGAGTGTGTGTGTGAGTGTGTGTGTGTGAGTGTGTAGGTGCGAATGTGTGGGAGTGTGTGTGTGTGTGTGAGGTGTGTGTTGTCCGAGCTTAACTCGAGAACAACAGCTATGTACTTCGAATTTTTACACATTTACAATTTTAAGTGTATCTCGGTCAGCCTCAAATTTGGTACTGATCGAAAGTAAGATGCAGATTTTAGAACGTTACATATTCCCTAGCCGCAATTGATAGAGACAACTCGGGCTGATCGTTCTACCGAGTAGTTTGTGTGTTAAGGCCCCATTCCCGGCAAAATTTCACTAAAAAAGATTCTTTTAAAGAAAAAATGCATAGGCCTATTCATTACTCTATTTATTATAAACAATGCAAAAATATTGGCATTCATTTTAGTTTTACGCAAAAGAATACTAGGCAAATTCAGAGGTTGTAGATCGCATGCGCTGGAATGCTCTGCTTTTATCAAAGAGTATTTATAGAACAAGAGAGCAAAGTCCCGTTCGTAAAAACGTCACGCCTGTGTATGACGCCCACTAACGGTTGTATGTTCTTTTTATTACCCAGTGCAGCGCTGCGTAGCGCGGTAGAAGTACGCCCGCTGTAAACTCAGTAAGCAGAAAACAAAAGTACAGTATCTTGTGGAGAACAGATAAACGTACAAACCGACCGTGCGCGGTGGGCGATTTTTTTTCCGTACGAAACATTTACATGAAACTCCACTCGGGCCGTCTCGGCTGAATCGACCCGAAAATCTCATTGCAGAATTCAGGAGGTCAAAAGGTCATCAACAGATAAACGTCTACAGAACAACTTCTGAGAGAACGTCGCTGTCTAATTTTTGAAAAATACATTGATGTTACCATGTTAATAACAATGGGTCGTTTAAAATGACATATAATATTTGATTAAGCTGCACGAGTAATGAAAAGTGTTATTTTAACTTGAGTTACATACTATGACAATTTTAATTTTTTAGTTAGGCCTGGGTCTTGCATAATTACCTAGGCCTACTAAAAACGCTTTCTGGGAAAAGCACAAAGAGTAAGGAAAAGTGCGTTTTTCTTCATCTAATCAAATGAAACAGAATGACAGTTATTTTCAAATTAAGAGAAGAGCTGAGAATAGGCAGCTCTAAAATACTGGATGCCATAAGACCTGCCAAAATGGCAAAACATCAAATGAATGTAAAAATGAGCTAGTTATTAATATTAGGCATAGTAATCGGCAGGTTCTTGATTACAAGGCTAAACCAAGTTAATTTCATGTAATGCCGAAATGATAATAATAATAATAATAATAATAATAATAATAATAATAATAAGTTATTGTATTGAAGTTTCATGCAAATGTTTCGTACGGGAAAAAAAATCGCGCGCGGTGGAGTACTGGGTAATAAACATAGAGCTATTAAACAACTAGAGTGCTGACAAGATGGTGTAGCAATGCAGAGTTATGTATGTGTACCATCCAAGATGGCCGTCGTAGTAAAGCGCCACCTTTAGGCTTAGTATACATATTATTATTACATATTAATAAGCCTTCTGACTGACTATTATTTCATTAATGATAATGAGTAATGATAATAACAAATTATCAAACTATTGTAGCCAAAACGAGGCCAAGTGGAGCATCTTATTCAAA